GCGTCTCTTGTTTTTACCGGCGGCGAAGTTCAGGTGGCCATCGGGAAGGTAAAAGTCTCCAAAACCATGGACTACGATGAAGTATACATGCTGTTGCTGAAAAAACGGGTCCAGCGGAAGTATGTAGACTACAACACCAAGGTCCTCAAACTGCCTATGGCTACTCTCCTCTCCTCTCGTCTCAAGGTCCCGCTGCTTAGGCCAGATCAAAGACACCAGAGACCTTGTTACTCCCGCACTTCTCGTACAACTTGACTCCAGCTAAGCATCAGCATGACTTCTGTTTGCCATTTAACGCTACATTGAGTGGTCAGCGGAACATTCGTCCAGTAATCCTCCGGTATCAAACTTCAAAACCCCAAAAAATTAAGCAGGGGGTCTCAAAGGTTGGGGTACTCGCCCCGCTTATCTTTAATTTGTATATCTCCTTAACCACCAGAGGGCGTTTCCACCATCTTTTATGCTTACGATTGTTCAATATTGGTGTCCGGTAACGGAATTATTGACCTGTGTTCAAAAGTAAATGGTTATGTCTCCGCACTTTCTCTCTCCTTCAGTGAAACAAGCCTACAGACTGCTCAGCAACCATTTTCGCCACCTGGATGAAAGAGGTGAGGTTACACTTAGGCACTCACGTTAACGGCGTACTAATTCCGACATTGAACAATCCGAAAATCCTCGGGATAACCTTCTATAGTTGCTCTCTTTCTCAGAGCAATCAACGCAATTTTCAATAAAATGCAGAAGCGCAAAAGGTCCTCAAGTCCCGCAGAACTATTTCCGCACAAGCACTGATGCCGTAAGCCTCCGATTGAAATATACAAGGGTAGTTGCCCAGGGGAATGGACATCTTAGCCCCAGGGACCGAAAATTCCTGCCCCTATCCCTTTATCAGTTTTTGTGCCGTCTATGATTGTAAATTGTTTGAATAGCTATGGGACGTGGGAAACATTACAGCGCCGAAAAACGTGAAATTATAAAAAAAAACTCATTTCTCAAGGCAAAACTTATGCGGAAATGGGCCGTACAGTTGGCTGTTCCAACAAAATGATCCGAAATGCATTAAAATTTGTTCCAAAACCAGAAACACGTGGACGCAAGCGGGCAATGTCACCCTTACCGGTCAGATGGCTTATTCGGCAAAGCCAAAAAGACCCTTTTAAGCCAGCAACTGTACTTAGAAAGGAGCTTAATATCATGGCATGTGTAGAGACAGTTCGCTCCCGGCTTAGAGAGAATGGTTTAAAATCGTGCACTCCCAGAAAGGTTCCTTTATTAATGAGTAAGCATTTGAAACAGCGTCTGAAGTTTGCAGAAGATCATTTGGACTGGCCGGTAGGGAAATGGAGGAACATTCTTTGGACGGATGAAAGCAAAATTGTGCTCTATGGTGGCAAAGGTGGTCGAGACTACGTTAGGAGGCCCCAGAAAACTGAATTTGATCCCAAGTTCACTACAAAAACACTTAAACACGGAGGTACTAGTATAATGGTGTGGGCTTGTTTTTCCTACAATGGCGTAGGCCCTATATATTGGATCAAAGAAATCATGGATCAATATGTATACGTAAGAATATTAGAGGAAGTGATGCACCCTTACGCCGAAGAGGAAATGCCGTTAAGGTGGGTCTTTCAGTAGTAGGAGGGCAAAAAAGTGGTTTGGGGATCATTTGATCAATGTTATGGAGTGGCCTGCACAGTCGCCTGATCTCAATCCAATTGAGAACCTCTGGACTGAGGTCAAGAAGGCTGTTCATGATGCCAGACCAACCAGTGGAGCAAGATTCCAAAAAAGAAATGTCAGGACCTTGTTGACCCCATGCCAAGACGTTGTGCGGCCGTTATTAAAAATAAAGGACATGCTACTAAGTATTACTCTGGAGCCTAATATTTATGTACATACACTTCTAAATGAAAAATTAAGGGTTTATATTTTATTTTAGTTTTTAAGGGCATAACTAATTCTCAGTGCTATTTTTTTTTTACCGCCATATTTTGAATACTTCCATACAAATACTTAAAAAAATTTGGCGGTGCATTAAATTAAGTTTATTTTTTTTTCATTTAGTGTGGAATAATATCATAAGTTTGTTAGAGAAATTAAAAGATACTAGAAGTAAAATTATTTGGAGTTTTCCTTTGATAGACCTCATAGTACCTCACAGTGTTATTATTTTTACCGGCACTGTATATACATTAGGGTGGTCCTTAAAAAATCAAATTAATAATTTTTTTTTTCGTCTAACCCCTTCAATCGGTAATACCACGGTGACAGATATCACATATGTATAAATTTTGGTATCGATTGGAGGCGGTTAAGGCGTGTCGCAAAGGGAGGAAAGTAAAGATACCTTTATATGTAGAGACTCAAAAAATTAAAATTAATTTTTTTTTTCATCTAATACAGATGCCTTTATATGTAGAGACTCAAAAAATTAAAATTAATTTTTTTTTTCATCTAATACCCAAAATACCCGTCTCCAATCCGGGCCAAAATTTATATGCGATATCTTCGGCTATAGTAGCATCGTCGTAGGGGATGAGGCTTAGGAAATCTGATGTAAAAATTTGCTTCCTACATTTAAGGACCAACCTAATATACACACATACATATGTAAATACATATGTATGAATTAATGAACATATATAAGAATGTATTTTTACATACTAGGTTTCTAAATAAAATACATAGTACCGGGATAAGAGTTCTAGTTAATCACTCAAGTGCACTTCCACGCCCACAGCGGGACACGTATTTAGATATGAATGCACTTGTGCTAAGTGGTTGAATTCTTGTTGCAGTAATCACATTCTTTCTTATCGTTATTGTTGGAGGCATGGCGTAGTAACCTTAATTTATAAAATTCACTGTTAAACGTTGCGCAGCAGCATAAAAAGCAAACAATTCTATTTATTTTTTTTTATTAAAAATGGCATTTGTATTTATTTATAACTAAGGCTATGCTTTCAATTTTCTCACTACACGATGTCATATGTTATGATATATGCTATATAGTATATATCGTTAGTATAGTATGTAAAGGGCGTAACTCATAACGCCACTGAAATACAAAATACCGTAACTAACTAAAAATCCAAAATTCTCTTTTGGATCGATTATGATGCATTTCATCAAATTAAAAGTCCCCACATCGTTTTATGCAACAAAAAATTTTAGTTAGTTGTAGCTTTTTTGCATTTCAGCGACGATGTGAGATACGCCGATATGCTTTTGTTTAAATTAATCTATGGAATTCAGAGCTACTAATCAGGACGTACATATGTATATATTTTAAGCTATGGAAGTGATACTAATTACTTATGTACCTATAATGTGTTCACTTAGTTTTTCGAGACTCAGAGCTTTTATCTAAGCTTGCACTGCAATGCTTTCCACCGATGGAATACTTTGACAACCATTGCTGCTGCTGCTGCTGCCCAGCCCATTCGTTGTCTTTTCCTTCGTACGATAGTGATACATGACGTCAAAGTTGTCCAGATAGTTGCGCGGCAATTGGTGGTCGATGGCGTCAGCGGCCAAATAGCAGGCACCATATGCCATACTCTTTGTTATGGTGACCAATTTCAAATCGAATGGTATGTCATGTTTATGCATTTCATGCTCGAAGCCCTCCTTCAGCAAATGCCAACTATGCCAAACGGAGCCCACACAAACCACGCTGAGATCGCCGGTTTTGACCAATTCCGTTTGTACTTTGGGCGTTAGCGCTGCTATGCTACGCGCAATACAACGGCCAGCTTCGTTGAATAATGACATCGAGAGCGCATCGTCTTGATCGGCAGCATGTGCAATCTTCTTGCAGAGGCTCGCATAAAATGGCTTATCGAATTTGGCATAGCAATGTGGCAGTAAATCGAAACGTGTGTCGACGTTAAAGTGCAACTTGATCAGTTCCCAGACACGATCGATGGGATAACGGGATTTTTCCAAATTGTCAATATCATCGAAGACAATTTTCATTGCCCGGTGGGCAATGTGAAAGGCTGAGGAGGAAGAAAATAGAAATCAGAATTAATCTTAATATGGCTTATTTAGTTTTACGAAGAACTAAGTATGTATGTATGTATATTGAGAAATAAATTTGAATTGTGCTTCCACTAAGCATAGCTCCACAAGTCGATTATAGTTGTGAAAAAACAACCGCAGATACCGCGGTTAAAGGGATTCTTATGTTCAGATGATGCTTAAAGTCGAATACTTACTATATAATGTTTTTGTTGTTCACTAGGGTCTTGGAGCCATAACATAGGTGGGTTGGTTCCAAAGCCATTATAAATGTTTGAATTAGACTATGAGACATCGTCAGATCAGTTGGTCGCCTGGGAGAGTTTCATTTCATTCTTAGCGCTAGCTTATTCAAAAGCACAACCGGCAGTAACCACACCTCTATAACAAAAAAAAAAAAAAAAAACAGAAACAAACCCTAGACATAACCCCAGTTAATACGAAGAGGAAAATGTGATCAGCATGGTGTATTTCTTTTCTAACCACCGCTATATCCAAATCGGCTTAGATGAGACGTAGTCTGTGGCCTTCCATATAGGAATAAAAAAAACAGATTGGCATAAGTATACGGATACATGTACATTAGACTGCATCACCAAAAAAAAGTTACAGTTTTTCCGCCGGGATTTCAAAATTTGTTATATTTTAAGAAGTCCAC